AAAAAAAAAAAAAAAAAAAAAAAACTAATCTCAACTTATCGTAAACAAGGCTTGAACAATACTAAGATTGAAGGATTTATAACAAGAATAGCCAAGTAATTTCCATGGGGCTATGATCGTGCGCTAAAATGTACTGCATTAATTAGTCATGATCTTCTTACGCTCAAATCGAAGAGCGCCTTTTTTCCTTTTGGTGCTAAAATGGCTCGAGAATTCAAGCAGCACGAAATGCACAAAAACTTCCGATCTACGCTTAAATCATAATGCGTTTACCTTCATACAAGAAGAACCGAAGGAGATTTTCGAGAATTGACGAAGAATTTCGCGAGAAGCTGGATTAGAACAAATGCTCACGTTTCTCTCTGAGAACGATCGTGCATGGCCGTCATCTGCATGTCTCGGCCTCTGCGACAGCAATGTTCTTGTTCCTCTAATGTCTGCAACGGCGACGGCTCTTCTCTCGTCGCTCCGCCGCCGCTCACGACGACGTCGCATACTACCGGAACCATTCATGATAGATAATCTCACGAAGAAGAAACGAAAATCTTTTGGAAGCGGCGGTGAATTTTAAAGCACTAACCGTATCCATCGTTAGTTTCAATTTCTGTCTGGGAGAGAAGCAGAAGGGCAAAAGGAAAGAAAAATGAAAGGAAGTTTCAAACTGAGAGGAAAAAAACGTGGCAAATACTTGAAACCATGGAAGACGGGGACTGGGCCACCAGATCGACGCGTGTCGCCGCACACGCAGCAACCTCCTTCCACCGTCACAGCTGGTTCCTCCGTGATAGCAAAGACGGTCCATTATCAAAAACAACTTATATAAAATGAAAAGTAAGTCCGCCGACGATCATCATAGTATCCGTCAGATCACCGGATCCGCCACCGCCGACATGATGCTCCGATGAAACGCAAGAGCTTTCGTGCTTCGTCTGCATTAGGTACAATCCAGTGTAGGAACTCATTGAACTGAATTGTGTGCGAGTGAAAATTGGTGTTCAATCTCCGAGTAAGAACAGCAGGTGAAAAAGATGTCGCAACTCGCAAAAATCTATTGATCGTCGGGTAGCTTCGATGGTTCTATGGATAATAAGAATCTTTATTGTCGTAGGAAATATATAAATCGAATCTACCTTCGATGGGCCTTGGGCCTGCACTTGACCCAAATTCCAAAATTTGAGTTTTTAACCCATGAACTCAGGGTAAGGTGAATGAATATTTTAACTACAGAATTGGAATGGTCGTAACCAACGAAAATAATGGGCTGAAACATGAGGTAGAAAGTTGGCCCTGTCAACACTGAACACAAAATTAAATCTCTTCCCTGAAAGCGATATTACAATAAACGGAGTCCTCAACTAAGCTGGGTGACCACCTTCAGCAGCTAGCTTTAATCTTTGGTGATGCTCAGTTACCTTATAATCAACGATCTCGTTTAATAATGTGGAGTCCAAAACACAGTCTGGCCGCCCGTAAACAGCTGCCTGAACGCCGGCCATGAGCTTTGCGATCTCACGGCCTGAGAACCCTTCAGTTTTTCGGGCTGCTTCTCGGAGCACATCGTCGGTGATGTCTCTTATGATTATTTGTTGGGGGCTTTTCTTGAATGAGAAACCTCGCTTGGATGTGTCCTCATTTTGATTGCTTAGGTACTTGTTTAGATAAAGCTTCAGCAGATTGAAGCGCTCTTCCTCACCAGGGAGTGGGAACTCAATCACTTCATCCATTCGGTCAGTCACAGCACTGTCAAGATCGCCTGGTCTGTTTGTTGCAAGTACAAGAACTATATCTCTCGACTGATCACCAGTTCGGAATAGCAATGCGTTTAGAGCACTTCGCTGAGCTTCACTCATCCGTGTACTGTTGCGCCTGCATTGAGAACAAACCAAGTTTTGTAAAATGGTCACTTGAAGATGATTCCGTTATAAACATGCTATCCAAGGCACACCCTTACATTTCTGCTAAAAATGAACTTTCATGCTAATAATCCAACATTAAGGGAACTTGGAACAAAAAGCTCAAAGAAGAACTTAACAGAGAATCCAATGATGACTTTTACATGGTGCTTAATCGTTTTCGTTGTGCAGTGTGAGGGTAGAGGTGGGGGACTTACTCGCAGAGAAAAGCATCCGCCTCGTCGATGAAAAGCAATAGGCCTTTCCTTGAATTTTTAGCCCAGTCAAATATTTGGTGTATTTTAGTAACGGCTTGTGGGCCCAAAGGTGCAACATCTCCACCAGTCATCATGGCATAATCCAAACCCTGCGTAAACAAAAGGAACTAGAGAGATCAAAACAAGCAACGTGATAGTGGCGTTGAACCGACTGATTCTATCATTTCATGGCACTAAGAGTGTTTGAACTAAATCTGCTGTGCTGAATGATATCATATCAGTACTCTAAAACTATCTAGGAGAAGCATATTCTATCCAGTC